ATTTGCTTTCCAAAATGCTCCTGACTTCTTGATGAGGAAACTGAAATAATGATTTTGATGTTCTGCCGTCTTCCCCCAGCTCCTCTGGTTCCCAAAAACAAGTCATAACAATAATGTGGAAAACATCATGACCAAAGCAACTATGCCACAAAATTGGATGGGAATAATCAGGTGTTAACTTAGGTACCCACAGTAAAAAGCTATGTGTCTGTGCCAATTGCTTTAGCCTCCATTCATAATCAAAGAAGAGAAACCGTTCAATTTAAAACATGATTAGTCTCATCAACCTGAGGATGATCTTACCCTGTAGAAGACCTCACCATTGACCATAAAAAGAATCTAGACAAATACCTCAAAACCAGGTGTCTACATTTTAGGTATCTGATGGCAGGTGAATGAACCCAGTCTTCAAAAGAAGTCTTTACAAGCACCATTTCTTAGTTCTGAGACTATTAAGAGACCTTTAGAAAGGATCATGTGTAAAGGTGGTATTCATAATACCTGCCTTTAGCAGGTAAAAAGTAGGTTAGTTCCCTCAATACCAGGAAGTAATAAGTGCATTTAAAGGAAGCTCAGAGGAATGACTTTACTGAAATTATTCTTTCGGTTATCTTTAATCTGGAGTTCAAAAGCTACAGCATGAGGAAGCATACTGTGATATGCTGCCTCTAGCCCTAGAAATATAAAATGTGAACCAGTGAAGTTATTAATCTCACAAAAGTCATAATATTTTCCACAAATTTTCCAAGGAGCATTTAAGGATAGTCAGTGGCAGGATTTTATATCACACATGTATGAAACCATTCAGGTGCATGTTAGGTCAGTCACATTCCTGGGAATAAACTGGACATAAGTTGGAAATAAATTCCAGCTCAGTTATAAAATTTTGATCCAAAGTCATGCTTCTGAGAACTGTCAAAAGCACAAGACTTACAGTACAGAGAACCATGATACTTATCTCCTGTTACTGAGACATGTTAGGAGGACAGCTGTTTGGTATCCACATGGGGTGTGAGAATGCTTATTATTCAATCAGATTTTCTGACTAAGGACCCTGCCAAATTGGAATGATAATAAAAGGGAGGGAGTCAAAACCACAGAGACATAAAACCTGACTAATTAGCACTAAGAGACAATAACCAGGAATAAACGTTGCTAGTTGATGAGCTCTCAAGAAACTACAGGCGACTAGGACTTTGCAACTAGTAAGGATGCAAATGTGAGGGTTGAAGATGTTGGATGGGGTCAGTGGGACTATGCCAGCTGATGAGGGGATGTTCAAGTGAAGGGGAGTCATGAAGAACAAAGAAGGGGGTAGATGGAAAAGGGGTCTAAAAAAGGATGTTTGAGTGTAAGCTGGCCTGGCTGAGCCCTGTGCTTGATCACTGAAGTCTATCCTGTCTTATTAAATCTTTTCATAACTTTGCTGCGTATTCTCGCTCTATACTGTGTGTACATGTGCTGCAAGGACCACGTACTAGCTACTGAGGGGATCAGTGTGAGTGGATTTGGTGCCAGCTACTGAAATCAGACTAGGGTGTGGGCACCCTTAGCCTCTGGGTTCTGCTGTGGGAGCCACTGGGATCTCAGTGCAGCTACTGGACCCAGCAGGATATCAGCCTACAGCCACTGGGATGAGAACAGCATGTATCCACAAAACCAGATACTGAGGGAACTGGTGTGAATGAGGTGAGACAATCACTCTGGAAGCCAGAGCAGGACCATGGGTCACAGCTCTTGTGCCTTGTGCTGGCTGAGAGGAGCATATATATCTCCCCTAATCTAGGGGTGTGTGTGTGTGTGTGTGTGTATATTCACCCGCAAACTTAAAGCTGGACCAGACAGCGAATAGAAGGTCCAGGCAAGGGCATCAGGTGGGCAGAGATTCTCTACTCGTTCCCAGGTAGAATCTGCAAGTGTGGGGTGCCTGTGGGACAAGTGTGCAAATGCTGTGTCTGGTGCATCAAGCCAGAGGAGACGGTGAGCAGGGGACCTGTGCGGTGGGTCAGAGGCCGGGATCTGGGCAGGGGTACCAGACAGACAGAAGCGCCATGGCAGTGCTCAGGGGACCCACAAACATGCATGGGATTCTGAATCCTGGGGATGTTGTGTATGTGTCTGCGCTAGTGATTGCTTGCCTCTGGCAGCCCCAGAGGAGGAGGGGACGTGGCTGTCTGTGCTTGCATGTAACATGAGTCCTGTATGTATTGTCTGTGACAGTCTGTGTGGCTGGCCATGTCAATGTCGTTTGCACATCTGTGAGTGCCTTTGTGTGTCTGTGTCCTGTAAGGCTCAGGGATACGTGCTTAACTTCACTACTGGTTGAACCTGCAAACGAGATAGCAGCAGCTGCACCTTTGTGATCCCAACTCCCTAGGCACTGGGCTGGGCTCCATTAGCTGGGTAGGAGGGTCCTGGTCCAGGGATGCTGGACCGTGCAGCTGCTCTTGACATCCTTTAATAATGCTAAAGGTCTCTGAGACTCCAAGGAGCCCGGGGACAACACTAAAGCCCAGCTTGTGGCTCTCTGCATCCTCAATGACTAGAGTAATTTCTCCAGACAACAATTTTTGGTTTTGCTCCTGTGATTATCTTTAAGGCATTACATACTTGTGCTGCAGAATCAATCTCATGGTTGAACTACAATGCAGATGCTAATGTAGGTTCTCATGCACTTGCACGTCAAAATGCATGTGCATAATGGAGTTTCATTGTCCCTGTTCCATGAAACTACCCAATTCTGCTACTACTTCAACTAAATTGAAACATTATAACAAATTTCTTTTCTTCTTTTCTGTGTGATTAGTCTTTGGCAACTGGCATTATGATATCTGTGTGAAGGGCAGTGTTTCATGGAATGTATCATGTACCAATGTCACAGATTATTCAAGCTGTGGCAGGAGAGCATCTGCATTTAAAATACAATTCAAAATCTTCACTGTAAGCTGACTGTAGGAGTCATCAGCACACCACTCTCCCTAAGGTAAGAAAACAAAGGAAATATTTCTAGTTAAGTTTGCATGATCCACTTTGGAGGCACTGGATGGCAGAACTGCTGAAGGTAGGACCCTTACTTCAAAATGCTCATTGTGAACACATAAAGCAAATCCAAGGAAGAAGTAAGACCAAAATTTCAAGGACCTCATAACCACTAAACGAGAATTATGCAAAGTGGAAGTTGTTTCTGAGAGGTGTTCTGAATGACCAAAGCAATAGTCTAAAACTTTCATAAGGGATCAAAGAGCAGAATTAGGTAGATTCTACTTCAGCTTCATGGGTCTAAAAAGTTAAGAAAACTAGTGTGACTGTGTGCCATTGCAAACTGCAGGGAACTCTTAATGTCTAATGTTCTAATCTCTGTTTTGTTGTGCACAGGTTATATTGAGGCATCTCTCAAAATTTGGAGCTTCAAATAACATAGTGTTCTTTCATTTCCATGTTAATGGAAACTGTCAAACCCAGAAAGATTCCTTTTAAACTCATCAGACTTTTAAATGCCTGAGAAGGTTAGGAGTTTCACTATTGTGCTTGTGAGTTAGAATTGTTCATGGCTCCCAGTTCCACAGCTTTCGCTTTCATGTTCATGTTAGAAAAACCCACTGACAAAAAGACATCTTGTGTGAGTGAAGTCATAGCAGAAAGAGAAATTAGACAGTCAGTAGGAGGAGTGACTGAGTCACGATAGGCTGGTATGCACTGTGCTTGCTTTGATAATGTGTCCATCTCTATGTTCTGTGATGTGTTGACGAGGTCCATGGGGTGCTTCCCCCCTCTCTCCCCATACATGGATACATTTCTGCTGCCAAAATGCATTCTGTGCCTTGAGATTTACCAGTGTGGTCCAGTGGTTGGTAAGAGATGACAAATACGAAGAACGCAGACTTAATGACCACTTTCTCCTCTGTGGCAGGCTAATTTCTTCTTTCTTTCCATGCATCTGTTTCCCATTCTGGGTGGTAAAAAAAAAACCCACAAACTGCCACGTCGAAGAACGCAGACTTAATGACCACTTTCTCCTCTGTGGCAGGCTAATTTCTTCTTTCTTTCCATGCATCTGTTTCCCATTCGGGGTGGTAAAAAAAAAACCCACAAAGCTGCCACGTCTGGCACAGAGCTGCATGAATATCCCATCTGCATCACACACACAGCAGCCCTCACCAGGGTAATGAGGCAATGTAACTAATGAAGCAGATAGTACTGAGCTTCACCCTCTATGCTTTATTAGTGCTCTCTGTGGGTATCTTTCCCTCTAATTATTCCTTCTTCTGTTGCCTGTCTACAGAGAGAGGTTTTTTTGATTTAGTTTGGTGCTGCTTTCTTTGGTCTCTGGGTGTTTCAGTTGCCAGTTGGGCTTTCCCTCAGTGATAGGAATTGGCTTAGGTCTTCCCCTTCCAGCTTCTGCTTGCTCCATTTGGGAATGCTTCCCCTAGAGCTTGGGTCCTTGAAGTCTCCCTGTCCCACTGGCAGCTGGGGAAGGCTGTGAATATGAGCTCAAACCTCCCACAGCCTGAGCTCCCCTGACTTTCATCTAAGGTTGGGTTCCTCTAAGCTAGCTTCAGATGTCTTGGAGGAAGGTTGTCTGCCCTGACAGTCCACTCAGTAAAAAACCTGGGTCCCAGCAGGGTGTAAGCTTTTGCTTTCCTTGGACTGTGGGTGCTTCCGTTGTCAGCTGGGCTCTCCCTTCAGTGCAGAAAGCACCTATGGGATCAGTTGGGACCACAGACCTGACATTTGGGGGGAGCACATGTTCACAATTAACCCTACACTCATAATGGGGCTAACCCTAAAATACCAACTCCTCATAGCTCTGTACTTGGTCACTATCCCCAACTCTGAAACTCAGAGAGCAGCAACATCATGCACTTCCAGCATGCACAGCCATTGCCTTCTTACTTTGTTCAGCTAAGCCAGCTCTAGAGTTGCACCCTTTGATCCAGTAGCTCTCCCGGGATTCTCAAGAGACTCCTCACTTGAGTGACTGCCTGAAGCACCATGATCTTGGTGCAACCACTACCCGACTGACAGTCTGTCCATTTGATTCCTCCCAGATGAAGCCAACAGAGGGACCACACCCAGGAAACCACACTCTGCTGACTGAATTTGTCCTCTCTGGATTGTCCAACCAGCCAGAACTGCAGCACTTGCTGTTCTTCATGTTCTGCTTAACGTACACCATCACCATCACTGGGAACCTTCTCATGGTCACACTGCACACCACCCTCCACATGCCCATGTACTTCTTCCTGCGGGTCCTCTCCTTCCTGGATATTTCCACACCATCCATCATTGTTCCCAAGATGCTGGTAAACTTCTTGTCAGAGGACATGTGTCACACAGCTCTACTGTGTGATTTTCTTAGCAGCCACTGAATACTACATTTTGGTGGCCATGGCCTATGACCATTACATGGCCATATGCAACCCCCTTAGATATGCACTCATCATGAACAGCAGAGTTTGTCTTTCCCTGGTCATGCTGTCATGCTGCAGCGGTAATGTGTCTGTGGTGCAGACAGTTTGGGTGTTCACATTGCCGTTTTGTGGGCCCAAGAAGATTAACTGCTGCTTCTGTGATATTCCCCCACTCATCATGCTCTCCTGCACTGACACCTCTTTATATGAAAAGCAAATCATTACAACCACAGTGCTGGTCATCTTTACACCATTTTGTCTCATCCTGGTATCCTATGCCTGCATCATCTCCAGCATCCTGAAGATTTCCTCTGCAGAGGGCAGGCACAAGACCTTCTCCACCTGTTCCTCACACCTTACTGTTGTAACACTGTATTATGCAAGTGGAACCTTGACTTACTTACAGCCAAAATCCAATAATTCACAACACACCAAGAAAGTCCTAGCTCTCATATACACGACAAAAATTCCCACATTAACCCTCCTGATTTACAGCCTGAGAAATAAAGAAGTGAAAGGAGTACTAATCAAAATTATAGATGAGTTGAGGAAGATATAAATTTATTGTGCTGGAAAGGAATTCTTCTTCTCCTCTGTATACTTGGATCTTTTGTTTCTTTTACACTTGACTATTTTTTAAACACCCTGGTGAAACTTGGAACACTTGGAAAATGTAGGTATCTCAAACTCCACTCAGAGATTTTGTATTTCTCCTGTTCAGTATGAGTGTATATGACTTGCTACTTCAGTATTCATGATATAGCACCTTGCATCATGTGATGGAAAATGAGGTTTCAATGTTTGTTTCCAAGAAAAAGAAAGTTAATATTTCATACAGAAAGCAGCTCTGCCGAGAGGGACCTGAGAGTCCTAGTGGATGAAAAGCTGACCATGAGCCAGCAGGGTGCCCTTGCTGCCAAGAAGGCCAATGGTATCCTGGGGTGCATTAAGGGGTGTGGTCAGCAGGGCGAGGGAGGTTGTCGTCCCCCTCTACTCTGCCCTGGTGAGACCCCACTTGGAGTACTGTGTCCAGTTCTGGGCTCCCCAGTTCAAGAAAGATGAGGAACTCCTAGAAAGAGTCCAGAGGAGAGCAACTAGGATGATAAAGGGACTGGAGCATCTCCCCTACGAGGAAAGGCTGAGAGAGTTGGGCTTGTTCAGCCTGAAGAAGAGAAGACTGAGAGGGGACCTCATCAA